ATGCACGAACTGGGCACACAGCATCTGTATTATCAAATGGAAAAGTATTAGTTACTGGTGGATATAATAGTGATGCTGGTTATTTAAATAGTGCAGAATTATATTAGCTATTTCAAACAAATTAACTTTCAATTATTTTATTCTTTTTCTTGCAATTAGTCCAAACTCCAAACAAAACTTTAGTTAGAAGAATTCTCATTCTATGACGACCACGAACTGTTTCCTTCCATAATTTTGCTGAATTATCATTTCCTTTAATATTCCGTCTCAAATAAAAAAATGTATCTTTTTTCTGCTCTTCTTGACTAGTTTACTATGATTAATAAAACTTATAATTGATACGATAGCATCAATTATCCTTTTAGATGCTTCGTTAGTTTTATAGTGTAATTTTTCATAACATTTAATTGTTTTAATAGTATCCACTGGATTTAGAATGTATGATTATTGTAACATTTTAGCTACAAAACGACTTTCAAGTAACGGCATGAATGGCATATCTGTAAATAACAACAACGGATAATCTGAAACTAAATCTTTAATCATATCGGATATAGGAACTAATGAGAGTGAGGATGAGGTAAACAAAATACTGACATTCAACTTACCTTATTTTCACACGAATACGTATTTTAATGAAAGAGAACAAACAAAAAGATAATTTCTATATCTTAAATTTATCAATTTAAACCCCTTCAAAAAAATCAAACTGATTAGTGCAGAATATCTATAGAGAGAAGTATCGTTGAAATATGAAGATAAAGCTATACACAGATCTACTTTTTCTTTGTCATTTTCATTTATTTTACAAAGTATGCAACTATTCAATTTTTGATTTTAAGATTCTTTAACAGCCTTGGCTGTACAAACACACGCCTAATCTGTCTAGTATGACGCAATCTGTTGTCAATAGTACTTTTTCTTTGTTATATGTATGGCGTGATCGCCTTTAAAAATTTGCCACTGTATGATGTATGGCGTGATTCTTAAGTGAGAAATCAACATCTATATATACTGTGTTCTTTCTTTTTTTTTCTTTCTCATTCGATAGATGATTCAGTCAAAAATCGTCATCATTTATAGTATTATTATTAAGTTGTAGCCTTTTCTATTTTGATAATGACTTACTTTAATAATATTAGTATATTTGTGAGACATAAAACAAAAGTGTAGCTTATAAGTGAAAAATGAGAATGAAGAAGTGATCAATTTATTTGAGTAGTAATCAGTTCTCTGAAACAAAACTAATTATAGTTAAAGAACGGAAGAAGATATAAGCTATGAAGGTAAGAATAAAACGACATTAAGTATGTCGAGACTATAGGAAGAAAAAAAAACTACAAAAGGTAAAAAGTTTTTTTCGTATGGCGTGAGTATGAGGTGATCAGTTAAAGTAAACGAACTATTTATTGATAAGCAAGGTATTACAATACTTTTTTTTACATTATTTTTAGACTTAGAACATAATCTAAATGCGGAGAGAAGAAAAAGAATTTGGTGGTACACCAGGTGCTATTGGTTTAATCATATTTTCCCATTTTGTACCATTTTATCTTGCACTATCACTTCAATATAGTTCAGGTGGACTATATTTTCCATCATCCTTTGATACTTTAATTCAGAATTTCAAAGAAACATGTTTACCAACATGGTCAGCATTTTTTCTGTACACAGGATTTTGTCTTTTACAGCTTATATTTGCTGCTATTTTACCTGGCCCTGAAGTTAAAGGTTTACCAGTACCAACTGAAAATAATCGACAATATACATATAAATGTAATGCATTAGCTAGTTGGTATGCAACATTATTACTTGTTGCGATACTTCATCTAACGGGTATAATACGTTTAACCATATTAGCTGATCAATTTGGTTCAGTTCTTTGTGTTGCTGTGATATGCTCGGACATTATATCAGTAATTATTCATTTTTATGCTATTCAAACAAAACAAACATGTCGTATGACACATTCACCTATTTATGATTTTTTTATGGGTGTTTGGTTAAATCCACGTATTAAAATTTTAGGACAAGATGTCGATTTGAAAATGTTAGCTGAGGTACGTTTATCATGGCTTCTATTATTTCTTTTAATTATTCCTGCGGCATTGAAACAATATGAAGCATTTCATACAATCTCATGGCCAATGATATTTATCTTAACAGCTCAATTACTCTATATAAATGCTTGTATGAAAGGTGATGAATGTATTCCAACAACATGGGATATATTTTATGAAAAATGGGGTTGGATGTTAATCTACTGGAATTTAGCTGGTGTTCCATTTGTATATGCATTTCATGCTTATTATATTCTTGTTAATTCTTTGCGAACACATAAACCAGTTGAAGGCACGTCGACAACATTTATTATTATTTTATTTATTGTACTTTTTCTTGCTTATTACATATGGGATTCTTCTTTATCGCAAAAGATTCGTTTTCGTATGCAAGAACAAGGAACATATATATCAAGAAATGCATTTCCACAAGTTCCATGGAATGTTATAAAAAATCCAAAATATTTAAAAACAGAATGTGGATCATCCTTATTAGTCGATGGCTATTTTAAGTATTGTCGTAAACCTCAATATACAGCTGATATATGTATGGCTTTATGTTGGGCATTATCTTGTTATCAATGGGCAGGTATTTTACCTTATTTTTATCCTAGTTTTTTTATAGGTATGATTGTTCATCGTTATACACGTGATATGGCTCGATGTGCAGCTAAATATGGTGAAGATTGGAAAATTTACTGTACTAAAGTACCATATGCATTTTTTCCTGGACTTATCTGAGTTTTTTTATTGTAATTTTCTTCTTTTCTTTATTCTGTAACCATCTGAATATTGAAATATAAAAAAAAAGAATGTTTATCGAAACTATTTTTCATTGAGCAATAAAATTGGCTGTTGAACGTTTTCCATCTGTAGTAGAATAGTCCATTGTTTCATTATTGTTATCATGATATTCATCTTTTATATATTTCCACAATAGAAGCAATGCTAATAGACGAAAAACCATTGCAATACAACTAAGAAAAATCGTAAAATTCCGTTGACTGCGTATAAATGGTATGCATGATTTTGCATTATGAAATGTGATAATACCACATGTGGATGGATATTTTTTTTGAAAGCTTTCAAGATTTTTCGTCGTTTGTCCTTCATCATCAATCGAACAACATCTATATATATATTATAATCAAATATCAATTTATAAATTTATCATATAAACTAACTTGCTAATTTTAATCAATACAATAAGAGGTTCAGTAATTGTTTGATTTTGTTCAATATGATTAACAAGTTCCTCAGTCATTTTAGAAACAAGTGTTACTGCTTCGTAAATGTAGGTTAGAAAAAAAAATGCAGTAACAAAACTCATTGCATAGAATATTCCATATGCAATTTGACTACTGGGTCTTTTACGAGCGAATAATAGATAAAGAATTGCAATAGTAGTAAGAAGATAACAAAGGTAACATAGAGAGTATATTATACTCTTTCGAATGATAAGTTCATAAATAAATACAAAGAATCCGAAGAAAATTCCAAGACAATGAAGTATTCGAAGAATTAAATGAATTTGTCGATGAGAAATTTTCATTTTAAAAAAAAGTAGTTAAAAAAAAAGAATAACTTTTTAAAATGAATATAAATTCTTAGTTACATGAAATGCGCTAGTTTATTTTTGTTTCCAAAGTCTCTCTATTTAACTGGTGACATTTAAAGCAAAAGGAAAATCGAATTATATTTTGTCTATTATAAGCGAAGAACAATTTATAAATTAAGAGACTTGTATTTGTTAAGTCCAACTTGATACTAAAAATCTTCGTACTAAATTTGATCTAGTTTAAAGATCAATCGTATATTAAATGAACCATTTAACTGGTAATATCAATTGATTCAATCATGCATGATGTGGATTTGTTATTCATGTTAACAGTCAAGTGATCACAATAAATTCTAAATATAGCATGATTATTTTATCAAAATAGTATTGTTTACTAAGATTGCAATCAGCATTTTTCATCGTATGATAAAAAAACTACTTAAAATATTTACAATTATGATTTTCCCGTTGAAAATAATTGATTACTATACAATAAGAGATACTTATCTTATCGTTCACTCCTTAATTTTATAGAATAGAATAGAGTACTCTCTTCGAATACAATGATGCACACTAAATGTTGAATTTCTAGAAAAAATTGACAGGAACAAACCGCAGGCCTTTAATTTATTCTATCACGTAATAAAAAAGAACAGTAAATCATATGAAAACATTTTTATTCGGACGTCATTTTTAATTATTATAGTATTTACTGTCAACTAACAGACGTCAAACAGGAAAAAAATTCATTTTTCATATAACATTGTATTATTTAAAAAAAAACTGGCACGCAATATTGGAGAAAACATTATAGTCTAGACTTTTTAGCAGGCGTTTAAATTTTTATATTAAAAACTTTTTTCTATTATGTCATTATTGAGCTTATCTGCTAGATATTTATATAAATATTTCGATTTAATTTATCATAAGTATACAATAGCATGTATAATTTAATTAAATCTTAATGTATATCATCTCATGCAAAATAAGACCATTCTTACATATTTAGAGAAGAAATACAAGGTTTTTTTATTATTATTATCATAATGATAGAATAAAAGAATTCATCTGAAAGGTGTTAGAACAAATGAATTCAAGGGATTTCTCATAATGTTTTATCATCTTGCTACAGGCAAAGTTTTTTTTAATCAAAGAATAGATAATGTAATAGTTGTTTACCTCTTTCTATTCTTTCATATTTTCTAAGATGTAAATATACCTTCTATCGATTATTATATATAAATTCATTAAAATAGTAGAAAAATAATAAGAATTCATAGAATTTTTTTCTTTTCCTTTTTTATCTCAATATATATTTAAAAACAAAAAGATTAGCTTAGAAAGAAGCTTTTTCATAATCTCAATTCTTATTAAATTAATCTTCTTCGGAGAATAACGGTCACACGAGATCATATTTGTTCGCACGCAAAAATAATTCTCTTAAATATTTATCTCTATATAAAGAATCATTAATAATATACAAAAATCATCTTCATCACCATCAATATTAATGATTGAAAATATACATTATCATAAAATCTCAATTACTATAAATAATATCCAGCAATGAGCTAATTTATTGGAATCATATCCGGATACTCATGTAAATATTAACAATCAACGTAGTTTATTATATGAGAAATAAATCAATTGTTTAATATTTCTTTTTCTTTTGTTAAATACTGTCAATAATGAAAAGATAATAATAGGAACAAAATAGAAATGATGTATTGGCCTATTTATGATCCTAGTAAAGATAAGAAGGATCTGTTTGAAGAATGAAGAAGAACAAAAAAAGGAAATAGAAATAGAAACAGAAACAAGTCGTCTTCTTTTAGCATGACGGAAATGAATGAGCTTCAAGTGTGCGTGCTCGACGAGAAAGAAGTCATCAACTACAACAACAGCTATTGCCAATGGTTTTTATATGAAAAAGAAAAGAAGAGAAGAGAAGAGAAGATGTTGCATCTAAAATAACAATTAGTTGACGAGCATGAGTTTCTATTCAATGACAGGATAGTCTGTATTTGCTATCTTAGGTGGAAAATGCGGATGAGTATGCTGTGATCACTGTGCGTGTGTATGTTATTTTTCTTCTTTCTTTACTTTTCGTCTTTTTTTTACTACTACTAACTAACTAGAGAATTGAGAGTTGATGTCATGCACAAAACAGATCGAATAAAAAACTGAGCACGATCTAATAAAGTATTGATAGAATCATCTATATTACCATATTCCTTTTTCTCTCTCTTTTGATTTCCATATTCTAAACACATTCGTGCCCTATGATAGTTTCTATATTGTTGCATTTATATATTCATCATATTGCTTTTGGCGTTAATGAATATCCTTATTATATTTGTGTTTATTTATAGATATGTATATATATTGTCAAATGACAGGTATATAAAGTTGAATATTTATCTTAATCATTTTTCAAAATAGACTTTTTAATGTATATATTATAAAATATATCAAGCGTAATAATTGTCGTTTTTTTGAATGTTTCTAGTTTGCGAATGTTGATTAGTTAAAGAATAAAGGAAGAAGAAGAAGAGAGAAGAAAAATGATTGGTAATTGACAATGTTAGTACTATATTCTCGGTTAGTTTTCTTCTTGTTCATAAACAGTAGAAATAATAAACATAGTGTCACACTTGCCTTTTCTTTTCCGCTACTTTGCTGTTTTTTCTCCTCTTCACTCTATGTTTCTGTCTTTTTTCTTCACTTTTTTTTTAACAGACAAACTATGAGTGTAATAACTGTAAATAGTATCTGAATGTATAATGAGAAATGTTTGAAAATAGTCATTGACATCGATGAGTAAAAACAGAGAGACGAATAAGGGGGCGAAAGGCTTAAGTAAAAGAGGTGTAGTAATGTTAATATCGAAATCAGAAAGAAGAGTAGAGAGAGTGAGAGAGAAGGAACACGATCTTCCTCGCAATTCCATTTTCTCTTCATTTTACAATTCCGGTCTTTGCCTTGAGTAGTAGTCGTCAAACACGCACATACAAATCTTTCATTTGCTAAAATAGCAGTCTTCCTGATCAGCTCATATTTTTTTTTCTGTTTTATTATATTCATCAACGTTAGACGACCAATAATATTTATATAATTTTATCTAATTCTAAATATTTTCTTTTTCTTTAACATCTATATAAACTTTCATTATACAACAAAAACCGACGGTAACACTTCTTTTGAAAATTTTCAAGGTCTTTCTATTTATAATACATAAAGAAAATTAATGAGAATCATAACCCTCTATTAATGAATATCCGCTTTATTGTAAAGAAGATGAGTTATCTACTTATTTTTTTCTCAAAAAAAAAAATATTCTTTTAGATTTTATATAATGTGATAATTGACCAAAAAAAATACAAGTAAAATACGACGAAATTTTATTTATATCAATGGATCAATTTGATACATATTCAAAAGCATCAACATTTTCCTCATTTACTCCTATTAATAATAATAATGAACGTTCATCAGCAACTACATACGGTGAGGGATATGTGTATACAGGTCCATTAACTGCACAACAGTATGAAGCTCAAACTAGATCTACACTTGAAATGTCAAAATCAATAGGCCAACAAGGTGGTGATGGACAGAATTTAGCTTCAACATCATCATCATCTAGTATTAATAATATATCTTTATCATCATCACCATCGATTGAAATTGTGAATACAACTAATAATAATACTAATCAATATCAATTTAAAGTTATGTTATTAGGTGATAGTGGTGTTGGTAAGTTAAAAGATTATTCTATTTATTGATATATATATTATTTTTCTATTAGGTAAAACATGTTTACTTGTACGATTTAAAGATGGTACATTTCTCGCTGGAAGTTTTATAGCTACTGTTGGTATTGATTTTCGAAATAAATTAGTGACACTTGGTGATAAGAAAATAAAATTACAAATTTTTGATACCGTAAATAAAAATTTCTATATTATTTTCTAATTTGTTTTCATTTTTTCATAATTAAGGCTGGTCAAGAACGTTTTCGTTCCGTGACACATTCATATTATCGTGATGCAAATGCATTATTATTACTTTATGATGTTACATCATATTCATCATTTGAAAATATCTCAGCTTGGTTAAGTGAAATAAAAGAATTTGCACATGATGGTGTTGTTATAATGTTAATTGGAAATAAAATTGATAAATCTCAACGTGTTGTATCACGCGAAGCTGGTGAACGTTTAGCAAGAGATTATGAAGTTAGTTTTCTTGAAACATCAGCTAAAACAGGTCAAAATGTTGAATTAGCATTTATGGCAACAGCTCAAGCATTGCTTGATAAAGAATTAAGTCGTAAAACTCCTCATAGTGGTCATTCTACATTAAATGATATAGTTAGAATGTCTGGGATGTCATTGAATAATACACGAGATAATTATAATAATATGGCAAATAATGCCAAAACTAATGGTTGGTGTTGTTAATATAAAAAAACAAAAAAAAGAATAGAAAACTAATCAAAACAAGTTCTAATAAAGATTTATTTATAGTTGTGAATATCCTTTTTCTTTTTTTTCTTCTTTTTATCAGTAAGTAATAAATTAAAATGACATAATACACCTATAGGTACTATACTATATGTATATAAAAGTGAAATCGATTGGATTTTTAAATCATTTCATGATATGCTTTGAAAGTATCAATATGATATTTATATAATGTCAGATATTGACATAAAACAAATACAACATGCAAGTATTACTAAATCCATTAGAAAGATTATTGTTTTCAATGAGATTGAATTTCTAAACTATACCAAATCAATCATTTGTCGAGAGAAAGTCAACTAAATAATTTAATATCGATAAAGTTTTGACATTTATATTTTGCAAAAGGACAAATTTTGTTTGAATTGATATAGATTTGAGTAACTAATAGGAAAAACATATCTGGTTTAAATTATTTTTTTCAGTAAACAACTGTATTATTCGAATCAGCATTGTAATTATATAACACTTAGTATCATGTGTACCTACACATAATTAGTTGTCTAGTTATTAATGTTATCTAAATAAATGCTGATTTGTTGATAGTAGCTTCTACAAAAACATAGAAAAAATATTTGTTATGATTCTAGAAGAAAGCCCTATAGCAGTAAAGAATCTTTCTATTGGCATTCATATTAATAAAAACATTTACTTTCTTTTTTTTTTGTAATCAATAAACAAAAAGTTCTTGTCAAGTCAGATTAGAAATACTCAGTGAGAATGTGACATAGTCTTTTAAGATTGAATTGACATTTACTAAAAAATCTAGTTTTTTTTTCTAAAAGGAAAACTAAGTAAATAACTATACAAACATATCTACTGATAATCTACAAATTCTTATATTATCAGTTTTCTCCTATGCTAGATATTAGTTACTAAGATGAATAATATCTTGATCACAGGACATTCTTCATCGATAAGTACTAAAGCAATTCATTCGTCTTCTATATATATATATATATAATAAGAATTTCATGTAGATTTAATGTCACCTAAAGGGATAAAAAACTGCTTAAGAACAGAAATAAATGTATAAGTGATACTCTTCTCCTACGGGTATCTGTTTTCATAGTAAATAGAAAATAATCTATCTCGTACTTGAAATATGTATCTTACTATAAGAAATTTAATATTCAAAAATAGAAGAAATAATTACAAGTTTTATATTTAGAATTGAATAATGACTATCATATCTATCATTTTGTTAACCTCTCATCTATACACATTGTTTATGTCTATAGAGTGAATGATTAAATATCTTCTCAAACATTGTTTCAATTGTTCATATCTTCATCAAAGGCTAATCATATAATTATATTTTGTTTCGCGAAACATCTTCATCACTTTACTCTATCATTATCATCGAAAATTTTCTTATCTCTAAAAATAACATTTCTTTTTCTTTTTTTTGTTTTACACCGACACATTCATAAGAAATGAAGCATCTCTAATAGATCAAATATATCGTTTTGTCTAAAATAAACATTGACAAAAAAACACTACATATATATCTATATATTATATATGCCATGACATTTTTTATTCAATTTCTATTAATAGGCAAAAATGTTCCATCTAAAACGATAAATTCATTTTTCCGCTTGAATATATATATACTAGAACGGGCACCGCCTACTCATAATGATGAAAGCAATAAGATCATATATATATATATATATTTCGACAGTGTAATAGACAACAGGCTGATCGAATTCTTTGTTTATCTCAAGAGAGTAACCGAGATGATTATCGGCAAATGACAATTTTTTTTTTTGTTTTCAATTATAGACGACATGAGATAATCAAGAATAGATATCGAATAAATTTATATTTCAGTTCTTTCTTTTTTTTCCGCTTGGCAAAAAACAACAACAACAACCAAAAAAGAAAAAGGCAGAAGAAAAAAACAAGCCGAAAAAGAAAAAGAATTAATAAGTAATGTTCAAGGCGTATGTTATAATATTATTGCTGTTGTCTTTATATCCATAAGGCGCGGCATTGAGAAAAGTTCATTTTTTTTCTTTCCTTTTTTTTTTCAATCTGACACAACAAACAAAAAAAGAGAAAAAATTTTAACATATAAGAAAATGAGAGAGTGATTGAACAATTGTTGTTTATGTTAGTTGTTTGATGATGATAAATTTTATACGCGCATACACACATAAAATAAAATAGAGTGAGAAAAAGAAATAATACACACGCACACACACAAGCATCTACAATAAAGCAGAAAGCATTCTCGGGATAAACAATCTAATATGTAAAAAAAGAAAGTATATTTCAAAAAAGTTTGAAGCGTTTTTTCAGATCAATACGTCGCCATTCGGGTAAACGATAAAAATCCGATCGAGTCATTTGGAATAATGTATGAAATTCATTATCAGACAGATGACGCTAAGAGAAGAATAATAAGAATATAGAGATATCTTCTAATAATAAGAATATTCTACCTCTAGACGATCTCGATCAACATCTGACGGTAATCGTTTTTTCGACATAATTTTTAATTCTTCGTATGTATACAATTTTGGATTACTTATTAATGTTGGTGCAGAACGAGTTGAATGTGCATGTTGTGAATCTAAATATCGACGATTATTACCACTATCGCCAGCATCAACGGTCTGAAAACAAAACGAAGAAGAACAGATTTTGAATAATAATTTGTCTATTATCAATACAATACATACCTTTATTGATTTATGATGATCGTTATCATTTGAATCTAAATAGAAAAAAACGTTTTTTTTCTCAGTTCATATTGAGAAACACAATTATTTACAATATGAATTTGTTGTTCCAAGATCAGTTGAATCTAAATCACAACTTCTTTGTATATCAAGACATGTGGGTAATGTTTGAGCTTTCGGTGATGATGTCAAACCATAACCAGGTCGAAGCACTAAAATATATTAAATTTTTTTGATTTTCATAAGTTACCAAAAACAACAAAGGAGCAAAAAAAAGCTGTTTTCATCAAACGGAAAGGAGATGCGTGTCAAGATGCGTGAACAATGTAAAAAAACGGAAATTCTCTTTTTTATTCAAACCTGGCGTCTGTCTGATAAAATCATATGCAATAGGACCTAAATTTTCTTTCGATTAAACACGAAATCGATCTTTATTCAGACTAAAATACCTTGTTGTTGATATCTTGGTAATGTAACACGTTTTCCACCACCACCACCACCTGGTGTTGTTGATATTGATGTTGATAAACCGGCTAGACTATCGTCTGCATTTGTTGTTGATGATGAATGTGTATGAACACGTCTTGATGGTGATGCAAATTTAGGTGAATCAAAACGACAACGTCGTGGTGGTTCAACAGCTGCTGATGGTGAACGTGATGCTTTCCAAGGATCGAGTGGTAATTGTCTTGAGATTAATTTTTCTTGTGTACGTAGATCTTCAAGTAATGCATGTGCCATACCTGATGTATCTTTTAATTTAGACATCATATTAATATCTTTTTCTAATTGAATATCATGACGTATTTCACCATCAGTTATATATTCATCGTCATCATCATCATCATTAAAATTTCCACTTGTTATTGTTATATCATCTGTTGGAGGTTGTTGATCATGTTCATGATCATTGGAAGCTAAAGATAGTTCAGGAAGAGGAGGAGATGACGGAGATAAAGTATGTATTCCATGTGTTGTTGTTTGACTATGATGATGAGAACGATTTGAACGGGATTCAGCACGAGATTCACTTCGACTACGATGGGATTTCATTAATTCTGGTACAGCTTGAATAGCAATTGGTGCTGGCCAATCAAGTGATTCAATTTTTTTTGGTGCTAATGGATCAGGTATAAAACCACCTGAATAACGTGAAAGTACAATTGGTTCTTCTTCAATTGTTGGTCCTGGATGATGAGTAGGAGATGTTGGATCATGTATTGTTGTTTTCGGAGTCGAAGATACTGATTGTGATGATATAGGTGTTGCTGTGTGTGGCACAGAACAATGTATTTTACGAATTTTTGTTTGACCTATATATAAACAAGATTTTATTGAATATATATATTCAAAGATAGATATTGTAACATACCAGTAACTAGAGCTTTCATGCCTTTTTTAGTTCCTGGTACACTAAATGCTTGTGTTCGATTGTATGAAAAACCAACTGAAAAAATATAAAAAAATTTATTATCTGGTTTTTCGAAAATTATAATTATTATAGTTTTGTATCTTGAATATGTCAAAAATATTATTCAGTTTTTTGTTTATGTTTTTTATTAATCTAATTTGAATACTTAAGATGATATTTAACATCTGTTTTATCTTATTTCTGGTGTTAGTCAAAGTATATTTAACGAAATCAGATAGCAGTTGATGGAAATTTCTTTTTCTAATCTGTACTAAATGAAGCTCTTTACGTGACGTATAAACATACGCGTTTATACATATTCTTTTCTTTTACTATACATACACATATACACACACGTAAAGCCGATTATAGGGTTGTATGTGTGTATCATGATCGCCTGCAGACAATGTGCCACTTAGCAATTGCTCTTGGACCTTTCGACGAGCAATGAGAAAGGGCTTTGCTTCATTACATCATCAGCAACATTTATCATCTATAAAGCTGAGCATGCTGGTCAAGTGAACACATACGTGCCTGCATATGTGTGTGTATATAGGTCTAACGCATATAATTGAGTTATGATCTATCAGCTCGAGCTTATAGGGAAAGAAGAAAAAAAAGTAAATTGCCGTATATATGGTTAGAGTTAGCCTCATTCTACATTGTTTATTTTTACGCTTTAAGCATTAATGATGATAGGATGAAGTAAAAAGACAAGGTCTTCATACTAACACCTACCCATTTCTTTTCGTAGTGATGAAGTTTGCTGATAATGATGTGGATGGTGAACCATCAACATTATTGATTGTTTGAATGTATGTCGTCTTCTTATCGTTTGGTTATTATTAATACTTGCATAGAGATAGACGCACAAGGCAAAATTGTTTTTTTCCTCTTATTTCTCTTTTTTCCTTTTTGCTCCATTTCTCTCTCTCTCTCATCTTTTTCTCTCGCGTTTTTTTTGTTTCGTTCTTTCTATATACTATATAGTTACTGATAATGTTTTCTTCAATGCTTCCAGTTATATATTTTTGAGCTATCGTATTCAAATCTCTCAAATATGGTTCGCTCTTTGTTCATTTGTAACAAGGTCATCTTGTTGGCTGATGCATATAGATATTGTTATTTCTATTCTTTATCGCCTGCATCGTTTGTTCGTTTCAGTCTAACGAGTTTTTTTTCTCTCTCTCTCTTCTTTTTCTATATCCTAAACTCCGGAAACATACGGATGAATAGAGGAAGAAAGGAAAAAAAATCCTCATCAGCTGTCCATTTAACAGTTAGTCATGATGATCGAAAAAAAAACTCTACATATCATATATACAGTTTGAAATAAAAGATTCAAATGTGTCGTTCATCTGTCGATTATTCAATCAATATTAGTCTTTCGTCAAACTATGTAATCAATATCTTTACTTGAAAAAAAAATAACAGGAGAGCAACAGGAGTTTCATCGTCATTTTTCAAGCGAAACAAATTATTGTTATATTGAATAGCTATTTGCTTGTTTCTTGCGTCATTACTGTTCACTCATCCTTCATTACACAACAAAATCGATCAGTCAAGCAAATCTTATTTATATTCTCTCTTTATATTCAATCAACACATAAAACAAGTGTAATTTTACTCACTAAACTCCTGAGAATAAATACTCACTCATTCACTCTCTTTTTTAATAAAAAAAAAGAAGAAATCGAAAGGAAATAGATTTACTTGGTCGATGAAAGTGTGGTGATTTTGTATGTGAAGCTATATGATCACCAGCTCTTTTCATATAACCCATATTTTCTTCACCATTTATATAACCAGATGTTAATACACGATTAAGATCACTTGCACCTATTTGACTTGGTGATGTTGTACCTAAGGTACTCCCGTGACAACTCTAATAAGAAAGAAGAACAAAAAAAATAATGTAATGATTTATATAGTATTTATAATTGGTCTATGTCTCGCCGACATTTAATACGCTTTGTTAGTCATAAATAATAGTTTAGCGTATTAGTTTAGCCTTTAAAAAATAAATCACCTTTCGATTTTCAGAAGAATAAGAAGAGGAAGAAAGTGATGAAGATGTTTTTGTCTAAAAAATGTATTGTTGTCATATATTTTATTTTTAAATTTTTTTCTTTGAAAGAAATTGAGAATTAAAAATATTTTATTTACTTTATGCTGTGGTAAACTGGATAAAACAGTATCTGTTAAATAATGCGGACTCGATTCATTTGAATCACATATAAGTAATAATTTATCTGATGGATTATGACTAACATCAATGTGAATTTTCGATGTTTGATCTGTATTTGCATGAAATGCTGAAAGATTTTTGTCATGTGCTATTGGTGATGATGTACGAGGTGTACATGAAGTTTTCTTTGAATTCGATGGTGGTGATACAACAGATGATGAATAATCAAAACCACCTGATTCATTATCTCGACGATAATGCTGTTGTTGTTGTTGTTGTTTAGTTGTTCGATTTATAAAATTTTCTTTATTTTCATTGATTATTGGAATTTGATGTTGTTGCGACTGTTGTTGTGTTTGTTGTTGTTGATTATCGAGTTGCTTTACTTTTCTATGAAAGAAATTTTTTTGTTAAGAAAATTACTATAGTTGTTTTCTTGTTTGACTTACTTTTTTTTAAGAAATGAAAACATGACGAAAAAATAAACAAAATATTCTAGAAATACAATAAGAAAAAAAAGATGATAAAACATGTCATCTTACAACAAGAGCTAAACTTGTCTAATCTAAACAATCAATCGTCGATATTATTATTATTATTATTGCCTGGTATCGTTTACTTATTCATCATTCGAGATCAGTACTTTTGTTTCTTTTTTGTGTGTGTGTGTCTTGATGTGCATATACTACTCATCGATGTAAGTTTCAAGACAATGGAGTAATAGAGAGATGAAGGTTAGGAATGAATATAAAAAGAAAAATCGACCGAATAGATGTATGAAGCACCTACCAACTAGTTGTTTGTGTTATTACTGTAGCCGATTTTTCTCGCACGAAGTAATCGAAGAAAAAAAGAGAAGCAAAAGCGTAGTTGTCGTCGTCGTCTTTTTTTTCGGGGGCGATGCGATGCAATATAATAAGAATAATGATGATAAATAAGAATGATCGACGGCGCGATGGTTATCTCGCAGCCTCGTACACGTGTATGGCACGATTATACGATGACAATGATGAAATAGCAATACAAATACCGACAAAAAAACGAGTGATGACGAGTAAAATGGTAATTATATTAGTTATTGAGAAGATCCACGTATATTACCAGTGTTTCGATTTGCTCAGATACTGGTGCCAACAGAGGCGGCAGCATTGGCAGCATCTGATACCAACGTCAATAGACAGAACAGGAGCATGAAGGGGCGTTTATCTGGCAGATATTTTCTTTCTGTCTCTCTCTCGCTTCTTAGCTTCGACTGGCGTCTATCGATAAACAAAGAACGATGTGCTTTCTCTCCATCTCTTTTCTTATTCTTTTCTTCTTGGTTGGACGATTGTGCCTGTAGCATAAAAAGATCCCATTTATGTTAGTATGTGCTACGTGCATATATACTATGCCGATAGGTCACAGACATATATTCATACGTATATATACATATATAGTCTGTTCTTCGTTTTCTCTTGTTTCGAGTCTCGACGTCTTCTTCTGTAAACAGGGGGAGGAAATAATGAAGTGACATACATGAACATATATAGGATGACAAAGAATGAAAGCATTTCTCGGACTTCCTTTGGTGTCACCGTCATCAATTAAAGTACTGTTTATATAAATATAAATATATACATATGTATCAAGTTCATTCATACATTTGTACGCTTCACGCTTTCGTATTTATACATACACACATACACATATATTTATATATATACATTCCGTTCGAAAAAAAAATGTATATAATGTTCGAGAGAAAGGCAAAGAGCTATGTGGATGCTTATCAATATTATGCAAATGTATATATACTTATATATGTATTACGTGTTAGAGATCATTGAGTCAACAAATGGTTAAGTTTACTCATATTTAGTATACAAAAAAAAAAAACGTTTTTTTTTTTTTTGCATATCAATCTAATAGTTCAAATTATTTTAGCTTACCTTATTAATATGTATCGTTATGATAAATTCATGGTTATATATAATTTGATTATATTGAGATAAATGCAATATTAAAGAATAACATCGATAAAGATTTTGGAATGAAATCAACAAGAAATTGTCAAAAAAAAAAAGTTATCTATATCTCTATGCGCTCAAACGAGCTAGCTGAACGATAGAGAGAGAGAGGAGATTTATTGCCACCATGATCTCTACATTATATCCTCTAATAAAGAACAAATGGGAATTTATTCGATTTGTACGAATTCAATTATTCTTTTATTAAACTATTTCATAATTATTTTAAATAATGATTTAGAAAAGTAAACATAAAAAGTTCATATACTGGTTTATAGCGACATCTAAATCCGTCAAAAAAATTCGATTGATTTTTAATTCAAAATTATAAAATTAAAACGAAAATAAAAAGCACTAAAATATTATTTTTTCGATTTTTTATCATTCTTATTTACATTGATACTACTGACAATACACTGAATCGATAAAAAAAAAGAAAACTAAATATATATATGTATGTATACTGTAATACATCATTTATATACATATTGAATCATAATAGAAAAAAATGTCAACATAAATTTTTTTCTTTTCAGTTAGATTTTTCTTCTTCTTCATAAGATATCTCACATGATAAAAATAAAATCATGACAATATTATCTACTAAAAAACCTGTAAATAATAATAAAGATGCTACATCAAATCAACAACAACAACAACAACAACCACCAGCACCACCAATAACTAGAGCTCGTTTATCACATGATGATGAACATTCTAATGTAACAAATTCTCCAATAAATTTAAATCAAGATCGAAATGAAATAAATATTGAATCAGCAGCAGCATCTTCATCTGCAACAACAACAACAAATAGTTTACATTCAATGATAACAACATCATCATCATTAAATTTTCCAAATAATTCAAAACGTAAATCACATAATCATAATCATAATCAACATTTTCATCAAACAATAAATAAACAAGCTAGACGACGACATACATCGTCAATCGATGGAACTCTTTCAGCTAATTCCAATAATAGCTCATCGAATGAAGATGATTTAATTGAAAATAATGCATCATCATCATCATCTTCATTAATTACAACAGTTAATAATCAAAATTTGAATGATGTTGATCAATGTAATAGTGAAGATGAATATGATCATTCAACAATCAAATATGATCCAAATAATCTCAATGAAGTTAGTTCAAGATAATTTATTAAAACTGAATTCTATTGCTTTTTTTTTGTTTTAGCTTGAAATGCATTTTATTCGAGCTTTAAAAGAAAAAAAAGGTTTTACAATTAAACGTGTTCAAGAAGATGGTGCATGTTTATTTCGAGCAGTGTGTAAGTAAAGAAATATATTGAGAATTCATTTTGAGAACTGGGTTTTTTTTACAGCTGATCAAGTATTTGGTGATGAAGAAATGCATTTAACAGTACGTCAAAATTGTATGGATTATATAGTATGATAGTTATTCTTTTTATGTTGAATACATTCATAATTTCTTTTTTTTTCTCAGGTAAAAAATGCAGATTTCTTTCGTGAATATATTACAGAAGATTTTGATCGTTATATATCAAGAAAACGTCGACAAAATTGTCATGGAAATCATATTGAAATGATTGCATTATCAGAATTATATAATCGACCTATTGAAGTTTATGAATATAGTACAGGTAATTGAAAATATTATTCGAATTATTTATTTTTCATTCATTTGTTATTTTGAAGAACCAATTAATACTGTACATGGAATGTATAAAACAGATAATGAACCAATTCGTTTAAGTTATCATTCTAGTATACATTATAATTCAATAATTGATCCTTGGAGACCAACAGCTGGTCATGGCCTTGGATTACCTGATCTTGAACCCGGCGTATGAAACTATTAATAGTTTTTTTCAAGTGTTCTTTTTTTTCTTCATATATTTAGCGCGCTCAAGAATCATTGATTGTCACCGCATTACGTCAGTCCGAAGAGAGTCATATTGAACGAGCTATGCTCGATGATAAATTAGCTGCTACAGATTGGGAAGGAACACAAGATGAACTTATACAACAAATTGCAAGAGAATCCTATTTAGAATGGTTATGTGATAAAAATCAACAACAACAACATAACGATAATAAAATGGTATAGATTTCATTTTAATAGAGTTTCTGAAGAGGTCATATAGTCACAATACACACATTTCTATGATGACTATTAACTATCACTCGACCACATGCAGAACGAACATTTTCTTGTCTACTCCCGCATCGATATGAATTCATAACTGATGAAAGAGAGAACAATATGTAGATGATTGCGATTCTATAATAAGTTGTAGAAGAGAGATTTTACTTCAAGAAAAAACCAATCAGCTTTCATCAAATTTATTCTATGATAATTATTCATAGATTTGATAAGAATGAAGAAATTTAGATAGAATATTAATGATACTTAGTATTCTAATGAATCTCGATGAAATCCTTTCGACGTTCATATTTATTGTGATTATTCACTGATAAAAAACGATAATATAAATCTAATTACAAAGGATTAATTGTACTCTAGAGGATTGAGAAAAGACTATCAAAATTATCATCATAAATATTTCGTTTATTTTCATAGACATCATCAACAACAACATCAGAGAGAATTAATAATACTACAGAAGGTATATTGCTAATTGTATCAAAAAGATATTTCTCATATAATTTTTGTTATTATAGAAAATTCATCAAAAAATTTCTTACCATTAAAACTTGATGAACGAAAAGATTGTGACTTTTCCTTACCATTTCACTATGAAGATGCTACTTTATCAAATCATGGTATGTAATCAATATACATATAGAATATTTTTTATTTTCAAAATCTAGATCTTGATAATGATGATGATGATGATTCGTTAATGCGACAAGTTCTTGCAATGTCA